CTTGGGATCATTGTCCTGTTGAAAGGTCCAACGTCTCCCAAGCCTCAGGTGTGTGACGGACTGCATCACGTTTCCATCCAATATCTCCTGGTACTGAAGAGAATTCATGGTACCTTGCACACGCTGAAGCTTCCCTGTACCTGCAGAAGCAAAACAGCCCCAAAGCATGATTGACCCTCCACCATGCTTCACAGTAGGCAAGGTGTTCTTTTTCATCATAGGCCTTGTTCTTCCTCCTCCAAACATAGCGTTGATCCATGGGCCCAAACAGTTCTAATTTTGTTTCATCAGTCCACAGAACACTATCCCACAACTTTTGTGGTTTGTCCACATGGCTTTTGGCATACTGCAGTCGACTCTTCTTATTCTTTGGAGACAGCAAGGGGGTACGCCTGGGAGTTCTGGCACGGAGGCCTTCATTACGCAGTGTGCGTCTTATTGTCTGGGCTGAAACTTCTGTACCCACATCTGACAAATCTTTTCTCAGTTCCTCAGCAGTCACACGGGGACTTCTCTCCACTCTACGCTTCAGGTAGCGCACAGCAGTCGAAGTCAGCATCTTCTTTCTGCCACGACCAGGTAGCGTTTCAACAGTGCCCTTTGCCTTGAATTTGCGAATGATGCTTCCTAAGGTGTCTCTTGGTATGTTTAACATCTTTGCAATCTTCTTATAGCCATTGCCCTTCCTGTGAAGAGAAATCACCTCTTCTCTTGTCTTCCTGGACCATTCTCTTGCCTTCACCATGTTTGTAACCACACCAGTAAATGTCTAGAAGGAGCTGAGTATCACAGTCATTTTAAAGCTGCCTAATTGGTGCTTATTATGCTTGATTGCTGCTCGGTGACATCCACAGGTGTTTTCAATACCTGATGGAAAGCACCTGTATGAACCTCTGTTCTTCAGAGTGGTAGTCTTTAAGGGGTTGAATAATTGTGGCAATGAAGAAACCACATAAGAACCATTTACTACTGTATTACATAAACAATTGATGTCATTTTAGTTGCATTTGGGTAGTTACAACGTCCTTGTAGGATTTGATTCTGAATACAATTCCAAATGTACACTATAGTCCCTAAACCCCTTTACAGCATTGGGGGTTGAATAATTTTGGACACAACTGTACATAAAGATTGAAGTTGTGTCAAAACACCGCCTGGCGGGGCCTCTAGCAACCAACAGTGCAGGGTTGCAGGAGACAATCAGCAGGGTCAGGATCAATGCAGAGGTCAGCAACAGGAAGCTTCACAGGATCAGACTACAGGAACAGGACAATAAGACCAAACGGCAACTTGTGTCTGTGCAGGGCTGGTTTAAATAGTCCACCCTACACAGACAGGCACCCCTGGGTCCCAGTGCCTGCCAGCGCCGTCATAGGTGACAGGTGCGCCTGGGTCCTAGTGCCCGCCTGCCTGCATGTCTTGTCGGACACCTACGCATGTACAGACTCATGCGTCGGTCGCGGTGATCCCTGACATTGCCCCCCCCTACGGGCAGCCTCCGGCTGCCCAACCAATCTCTCCTCTGTGGGTGGCTGCGAAAAAACTCTTGGACAAGTCTAGGTGCGTGAACGTTTTGGGCTGGCTCCCATGAGTTCTCTTCTGGACCATAACCCTTCCACTTAGTCAGGAATTGTGTCTGCCCGCCCCTTTTCCTGCAATCTATGATTGCCTCTACTTCAAATTCTACTTCCTCGTCAATGGTTATGGCCTCCGGGGGTCTAGACCTCCGGTCCGGGAATGGATCCGGTGTTGCGGGTTTCAACAAGGACACATGAAAGACTAGGTGTATTCTAAAAGATTCAAGAAGTACGAGTTCATACGCCACCTCGTTAAACTTTTGTTTCACTCTGAATGGACCCATGAATTTTGATCCTAATTTTCTTGATGGGCAAGACATTTTCAGATTTGTTGTGGTTAGCCAGACCTGGTCCCCAGGGTGCAGAATGAGTTCTCCTCTCCTCCTCTTGTCGAAGGCCTTTTTATTATCTTCTTGGGCCTTTGTGATAGCTTCTTGTAAGACCTTGTTGTTTGCTGAGAAAAACTGTAGCATATCTTGTGTAGTTGGCACTGGACTTTCTGGAATTGTGTCGGGTAGAAATGTGGGATGGAATCCGTAATTGGTGAAGAACGGAGATTGTTGGGTAGCAGAGTGATTCGCATTGTTGTATGCGAATTCGTCCAGTGGCAGGAGATTCAGCCAATCATCCTGAAGGAAGGAGGTGTAGCACCTGAGATACTGCTCCAGAGTCTGGTTTGTGCGTTCCGTCTGCCCGTTGGTCTGTGGATGATATGCTGATGATAACGACAGCTTGATTCCCAGGGTCTTGCACAGTGCTCTCCAGAATTTAGAAGTGAACTGGACCCCTCTATCTGAGACAATGTCCTTTGGGACCCCATGAAGTCTCACCTCTTCCCTCACGAAGACTTGTGCTGTCTCTGCAGCCGATGATGTGTTTCTCAGGGGCAGGAAGTGGGCCATCTTGGACAGGAGGTCCACAATCACGAAAATGGCAGTGTGATCTTGGGATGGTGGAAGTTCCACGATGAAGTCGATAGAAATCATCTCCCATGGCCTATTAGGTATTGGTAAGGGTTGTAGCAGACCCCAGGCCTTGCTCCTGCTGGGCTTGTTCCTCTGGCATATCGCACAGGTCTTCACGTTTGCTTCACAATCTTTAATCATGCTTGGCCGTTTGGTACTGTCAAACACCGCCTGGCGGGGCCTCTAGCGACCCACAGCGCAGGGTTCCCCAGGGCACGGGGTCTAAGTCCCAATCTGCTTATTCACCAGGGCCCCTGATGGTGGGGATGGACTTGGAGCAGACTGAGACCAGGTCGCGACCCCTGAGTACGTCCAGCAGTGGTAGAGAGCACCGTCAGGGGTGTGCGGGAAATAGAGCCTGACGTGAAGGGGCTGGCAGGCCTGGTAACAGGGACAGATCCATGCGGGATGGATGGATCGTAAGGAGTAGTCAGGCAGTCCAGGTCAGCAACGTGCGGGCAGCGAGATACCAGAGGAGCAGGCAGAGAATGGTCAGGGTCACAAGCCAGGTTCAGCAACTAACGGGCAGCGCAGTACAGAGGATCAGGCAGAAGAATGGTCGGGTCAAGCAGGAGACAATCAGCAGGGTCAGGATCAATGCAGAGGTCGGCAACAGGAAGCTTCACAGTATCAGAATACAGGAACAGGACAATAAGACCAAACGGCAACTTGTGTCTGTGCAGGGCTGGTTTAAATAGCCCACCCTGCACAGACAGGTGCCCTTGGGTCTCAGTGCCTGCCAGCGCCATCATAGGTGACAGGTGCGCCTGGGTCCTAGTGCCTGCCTGCATGTCTTGTCGGATACCTACGCATGTGCAGACTCATGCGTCGCAGTGATCCCTGACAAGTTGTCTGCTTGCTGTCTGCAGCTACTCCCAATCTTGGTTTGCTTCCTCTTGTGAAATGCTGCAACAGTTTACACAGAACACTCCATTCACGTTACATTGTTCACGTTTGGAGTAGCTCTTCATTCCATCCAGGGACTTCTACATAGCTTGGTGGAGTGTAGTTGTGCAGACTGCCAAAAGGGGGGTGCAGCCAAGTAGACCATGTGTGGGGGGGATCCTGTGGCCCAACTCTGTCAAGATGTCTCCCATCACCTCATCTCTAGTTGGGATTGGCATTACACAGAAGTCACATGACTTGAAAGCTGCTCTTGGATGGACTATCAGTTATGGATGAGACTAGTTACATGCAATGTCCCCCAGAAAAGAAGGGGCCCTAATGGGCAAATTGTCTATCTGCTCCACACATACCACTTGGATCCAACTTGTTGCTCATTCACATGTCAGTGTTTTGGCAACAAGAGGTGAGGAGGGAATGAAGTGAGGAACAAGTGTCCACTGGGCACATAAATTCCATAGGCACACACGTCTAGAATCAGGCAGCTAAAGATCCTATGCTCCCCAACCAATCTCGGGGCAAGATGTTACACGGGGTGTAAAGCAAACTTAGTCTGGGTCCAGTTAGTCCAGCATAATGATAGTCCAAACAACAGAAGGCCTTCTTCTTATTCTCCCAACTTTTCTGTGTCTCTAGCATTCCTTGGCAGGCTTACTGTGTGTAAGTTGTGTCCTGGTGTCCTGGATATTACACACTTCTTGTATAGTGTGTGTCAATGAAGTAGCACAGGGAACATATTTGGACAGCAGTGTCAGTCTCTGGGGTGGGGGTGAGTGTTCCATGCAGGAGTCTTGGCCAAAATCAGCACCAAAAAGACAAAAGCTAGCCGACACTTAGAAAACAAGCTGCAATATTGTGTGTTCCCATATTGGGGAACGTTAGCCTTGCCCACAGAGTCCACTGATAATTCTAAGCTCCCTTGGGGCAGCCAAATGGTTAGCAGATAATGGCCAACCGCTACATGTGCCAGAGAACTTGTGTGATGGGGAACAGAGAAAACTATTTGCAGGACAGACCACCAGGTGAAAGCAGCAGAAAGGCCAAAGAGTCTAACCACCAATGCCTCTGGAAGGGTCACCTTTTAGTTTTCTTTCTGAAGTGCTGCTTTGTTAGTGTTCGCTATTTGGAATTATTGGTAGCCATACTCAGAAAAGCCCGTGTTGGATTCCCTACATGACCAAGCCACCATTATTACCCCAAACGCATTTCTGACAATTTGAAAGACACGTTCTGCTACTTTCCAAATAATGTTTATTACAAAAAAAATACAAACTGAATGGGGAGGAGGAGGCGGCTGCTGCAGAGGGGGTGGGTGTGTGGGTGTGAGGGTTGGGGGGGTACAGTGTGTGGGGGGCTGGGAAAGAGTGGTGGGGAGGGAGTGCTGGGGGAGAGGTTGAATGGGGGGAATGGAAGACAGGGAGAATGTGGGGAGGGGCATTTGAGGGCTGAGGAGAGTGGGCAGGACGTGGAAGGTAAGGGTGGAAATGGGATTGAGAGGAGGGGTGTGTAGAAACAAGAGGAAAGGGTGTGAAAGTGGGGGTGTGGTCAAGGGGCAAAGTGGAGTGTGAGGAAGGTGCAGAAGAGGGATCCATGGGGAAGGAGCATACTGGTCTTCGGGTGGGGTTTCTTGAGGGGGCTGCTCCAGAGTGGGTAGTTCCAGAATCGGCACCTCCAAAGCTTGTTCCCCTGCTGCTTCCCGGGCACTTTCTACAGGGGAACTCTGTGGCAACCTTGGCATTGGCCCCAAACTACTACTGCACAGGGGTTGGGAGCCTCTGGCTGAAGGTGCATTTTGTTCAGGACCTGCTTGACATAAGGCCCGGATATCATGACTAAGGTCCTGCAATGCTGTAGTCTGCTCCCTGACCGCGGTGACAAGTCCAAGCAGGGTTTCATGTTGGAGCACCAATAACCTTTCTATATTACTGGATGCATTAGAAAGCCTCCTTTGCTCCCATAATCTCTCCATGTTGAACAGCCTATCCCCAAGCTTGAGAAGGGGGCTGGGTCCAGGTGGACGGGGTGCCGATCCAGCTGCATCCAATGTTGGCTGCAAGGAGAAACAAACAAAAAATGAAAGAGTGTAACACACAGCACAAGGGTACAGTAGGACAGGGGGCTCGTCTGACACCAAACACTAGATCATGTTCTTGTCCCACCCCTAGGACAGGTATTGGTGAATGCCTTTCCCTGACACATTACACTGGATGAACATTTGACTGAAATGAATGGTTTGGCATCTTTCCCCAGACTGATCCCTTCCTGCTGATTTGTCACATGCACATCACTCCCTCCAGCTCCTGACTAAGCAATGATCCAAAAAAAGTAAGTTACACATCACGTTGCCAAATCCTGCCCAGCCAGGAACGGAGTTATACTCTAAATGGGTGACTCATTAGGGAGAACATCTTTAGCATCTCTTACCGGACGTTCAGGCAACTCAGGTGGAGGTGACAGCATTTCATGCAAGTTTGGAGTGCCTGAACTTCCTGCACCACAAAAACAAAACAAATGCATGACATTTCCCAAATACACATGTAACATGCATTTGTACATCCCCAACCCCATTACAGCAGTTCCCGTACCCCAACATCAGATGCAGATTCTTCTCCCACTCCAACAGCTGGGGCCTCCAGGGGCAAAAGATGATCTGCAAATAGAGTTCAAGATGATGATTAGTAACAGATACTAGTTAGGCTATATTATGATGTGACATTTGTGACCAAGGTTTGAGGGATTGCTCATTGGTATGTTCTTCACCCAAGTTTATCCAGACAAATAGGACACTGGCAGCCACAGCCCAGGAGACTGTTTGGGAGAAGAAAGCGGCATGGTAAGGCTCAGGAGCAGGGGCCACAAGAATGAGGGACCACCTTTCCTGCCAAACTAGGAGGCAGATGTGTTAGGATGGCTCCATTATGCCCATAAGCTACTGCAGCCATTTTGACTATGGGCTTCAAACATCAAAACAAAATATATAACATTTTTCGTTAAGGCAACATTCCAAAAAGGATTTGGACAAAATCAAAAACAAAATGGGTCAAATCAAATATAAATGTTCCCCAAAATATTTCCAAAGCCAGACAAACACATGTAAATGAATCTAAAAGAAATGAAACTCTACTGCATGCTGGACAGACTGCAAGCATACACCCTGGGAAACACCCGCTGGACTATCGACAACCAAGCCTCTCACCACTCCTATCCGCCCTCCTGGGCACACCCCTAAAATGCCTCTTCCACTCGTCCTTCTCATTTTCCTCTCCTCCGTTCCCAAAATCCATTCACTATATCCCTCTGCTCCTCCCAAACAATTGTATATTGTGCCCTCACTGCTTCCTTCACCCCTCTATGGCACCCCCACCACCTCCTCCTATTACTCCACTCTCCCACTGACCCCAACACCTCCACTAGTAGTTTCTCACGCTACCATGCCACCTTCCTCACCCTTCTCCTCCTCCTAGCCGTGGGGGACATCTCCCTGAATCCTGGCCCTCCACCACCTCCCTTACCCACACAACACCCTCCCGCCTCCCCACGTCCTGCCCCAACCCCCGCAACTTAGTATCTGTCCCCCTGCTCCCTAAAATCACCCCCCCCGTATTCATGTGCACTCCTGAACGCCCAATCGGTGTGCAACAAGCTTACCGCCATCCACAACCTCTTTGTTTCCCGCTCCCTCAACCTCCCAGCGATTACGGAAACCTGGATCCAGCCCGCTGACTCTATCTCCCCTGCTGCACTCTCCTACGGAGGTCTCACCTGGACCCACTCACCCAGGCCCAATGGTCGTGAAGGTGGTGGGGTTGGTCTGCTCCTGTCACCGCAGAGCACCTTCCGAGTCCTCCCAAACCCCCCCTCCCTATCCTTCTCCTCCTTCGAGGCCCACTGAGTCCGACTATTCTCCCCAACCCCCTGAAGATTGCTGTGATATACCGGCCTCCTGGATCCATACCCCGCTTCCTGGATGACTTTTCCTCCTGGCTACCCTTTTTCCTCTCCTCTGAGTTACCCACCATCATCCTTGGGGATTTCAACATCCCTGTCAACCTCGACAACCCGGACACATCCCATCTCCTCCACTTAACCTCCTCCTTTGCACTTGCACAGTGCATACAATCCACCACCCACTCCGACGGTAATATCCTTGATCTTGTCTTCTCCAACCGCTGCGCTCCCCACAACCTCACTAACACCCCCTTCCCTCTCTCTGACCACAACCTGATCACCTTCTCTGTCTCCTCGTTCTCCAACGCCTACCCCTCCAAATGTCACACTACTACCGCCATAACCTCCGCAACCTCAACCCTGCCCCCCTCCACTCTGCAGCTGATCAACTCCACGACAGCATCCTCCCCCTGTCCTGCCCCGACTTGGCTATGACTGTCTACAACAACGCGCTGTCAACAGCCCTTGACTCACTAGCGCCTTTAACCACACGCAACATCAGACCCTGACCGCTCCAGCAGACTGATCACACCAAAACCCTCAAACGACACAGTCGTGCCCTGGAGCGACTATGGTGCAAAACCAAATCCCAACAAGCCTTCACCGCTACAAATCTGCCTTTCCACACCTACACCTCCTCCCTCCACACAGCCAAACAAGCCTACTTCCTGACCCTCATCAAGGCCCTCTCCTCCAATCCTCGCTGACTCTTCTCCACCTTCAACTCTCTACTCTCGCCACCCCCACCTCCACCCAGCACCTCACTCACCGCCCTTGAGATTGCCAATCACTTCAGAAACAAGATTGACACCTCTCTGATGCCCGCCTCACCACCTGCCCCCTCGACCCTATCCCCTCACAATTCCTACGACCTCCCTCCCCCTCCATCCTACGCACCCTCACCCACATCTTCAATCTCTCCCTCCCCTCCGGCACTTTCCCCTCCCCTCTGAAACATGCACACATCACCCCCATACTTAAAAAGCCCTCCCTGGACCCAAATGACCAGAACAACCTCAGACCCATCTCCCCTGCTCCCATTTACAGCCAACCTCTTGAGCGCCTAGTCTACACCCGCCTAGGCTCTCACCTCAACGACAACAACCTCCTCGATCCCCTACAATCCGGCTTCCGTCCCCTACACTCCACCGAAACCGCCTTACTCAAACTCTCCAATGACCTGCTAACCGCCAAAGCTAATGGCCACTATTCAGTGCTCCTACTCCTTCACCTCTCCACGTCCTTCGACACAGTCGACCACCCCCTCCTCCTCAAAATACTACACTCCCTCGGCCTCAGAGATTCTGCTCTCTCTCACAAACGCTCTTTCAGCCCCTATAATGCTACCACCCCCCCTCACTCCCCCCGTCCCCCAGAAACCACTAAAACAGCTCATCCACTCCCTCATCATAATACGACTCGACTCCTGCAACTCCCTCCTCACTGGCCTGCCTCGCCGCTGGCTATCCCCGCTTCAGTCCATCCTGAAATACGGCTGCCAGACTCATTCACCTTTCCAACCGCTCCATCTCCGCCACCCCCCTCTGCCAATCCCTCCACTGCTTCCGATTGTGCAACGGATCAAATTCAAAATCCTAACACTGACGTACAAAGCTGTCCACCATACTGCCCCGAACTACATCACTGACCTAATATCCAAGTACCGCCCAGCACGCACACTCCGCTCCTCACAAGACCTCCTTCTCTCTAGTTCCCTGGTCTCCTCCTCCCATGCCCTCCTCCAGGACGTCACCCATCCCCTGGAACTCCCTGCCCCCAACCCATCAGATTATCACCTACTCTCCTCCTCCTTTAGGCGCACCCTGAAACCCACCTCTTCAGGGAAGCCTACCCCACCCCCTGCTAACTTGCTGACCTCCTCCACTCTCTTCCTACCACTCCATCCCCCACAGCTATCTCCTCCTGTACCACTATCCCCCCCTCCTAGATTGTAAGCTTGAAAGAGCAGGGCCCTCAAACCCCTCATGTTTTGCATTGTATTGTTATTGTTCTGTCACATGTTCTGTCCCCCTTTGTAATGTACAGCGCTGAGCGAACTATCGGCGCTTTATAAATACTGTATAATAATAATAATATAACTGTTGATCTGAAGAGAGCAAGAGCAATGCATCCAAAACTCCTTTAATCACTTTTAAACCGCAGGTCTCCTGCAAAACTCAATGTGAAAAAGAAAATGAATAACTCATGTGGCAGTCTCAGAGTATCCGAAAACATTTAAAACAGCCCTTTCCTGATGATTGGAAGCTGAGCTACAAAGGGCGGGACTACTCAATATTGAACCCTACGGACTAAGACTGGGATGCCATTCGAGTTCATGTGTGTGGAAAGGAAGTCATCCCAGCAGTGTTGGCAATATAGTGTATTTGTCAATGAACTATAGATTAGTCTTTATGATGCCTTTTGGGCTTTAGGGCGACTTCAATCCTGAGATACTCGGTGGATAAGTCTGACAAAGGAATAGATCTTCCTGCTAGTCCATGTGATGTGCCAAACTCAGTCTAATTATTGGCCCCAAGTTTACATGAGAGGCCCAAAGTGACATTTTTTTTTGCTTTTAATTTTTGATCTGGCTGAGTTTTTGGGCTTCGGGAAAATGGCTCCAAGAATACTCAGTCTTGGTATGTATTTTTTTTGGCCTTTACATTTGGAGCAATGACGAGAATGGTCACCGTCACTTGGAACTTGACAATTGGGTGAGTAGCAACATTTCTTCTGAGCCCCAAAAGACAGCTACAGTGCTGGTGACAAATGGTTAAACACTACTTTTGGGGAAAACGCATCCTTAAGGGGGGGAAAAAAAACTCATTGAAGGAAATGTAAACAATCATGGCTCTTCTGGCTTTAATTTTAACAAGGGTTTGCCCGGAGACCTTAAAAAGAGATTATGATTCCCAAATGAAATGGAGGAAGTGCAGTTCTGCCACCCTATGGGGACCAAAGTGTGTTTTACCTTCCCTTTGTGTGGGTCAAAACCCGAAAGGGGAGCGGCACGATTTGGGAGGTGAGGGTCCCCGAGTGGACATTTCCCGTTATTGAGCAGCAATGATATTGATTACTAAACACCAAACACATTGGTATTTGGGACTGCCAAGTTGAGCATGTTTTACGTCGGTCGGTTTTGGTATGTGTTTCATGGTGGGAAAGTTTTTTTGTCTGAGAAATTGTGAAGTTGCGAGGGGGATCTGATTTGGAACGCTCGGAGATTCAGCTATTGTGGTTTGGAACTTTATTCCCTTCAGTTTTCCCCCATTTGGTTTGGTGGGGTTTTCCCGCTTTTCTTGGTCTGGGAAATGGTCCCCGGACATTTGGCAGGGGTTAGACATTTCTGTGTGGTAACAGTTTTTCCCCATGATTTCTCTGGGGTTTTTGGGGCAATACATGATGAACCCCCGAAATGCAGGTGTTGTG